CGCACTCGTCCTGTGCACCAGTGTCTCGCTCACCTGCAGCAGCGTTTCCCTCATGTGCACCAGCAGCAGCGTCTTGCTCCGGCATATCCACAACGATGTTGGTACCAGCGTCTCCCTCCTGCATGGCACCGGCGGCTCCCTCCAGCCCATTTGCAACACCAGCGTCTTCCTCCAGCATGCCACTGGCGTCTCCCTCCAGCACATTTGCAACGCCAGCGTCTCCCACATCCACAAAGATCCTAGTCGCCTCTTGGCCACCAATTTGAGCCGCGCCATCGCCCAGAACACCACCGCGCGCTGGATCCACTCCATGGCAAAACGCTGCTAGTGCCATCGAAGCCACTAGAGAAGATACCATTGACAAAAATCCTAGCCAAAAGATTCGTGATTTGGTGATCTCCTCGGCAGGAATCGCATCTGTAGGAACCTTGTGTGCCTGATGCTGGAACGGATCCAAGAATGCTGGCACTGGCGGTGTGGGGAAGTATATCTTGCTCCAGAGGATCCAGACCACGAGCCCAAATGCAATCACGCCCACAGCTCCAAGCCGACCGCGTCTTGCTCCCCGCAGCTCCAGACCGCGTCTTGCTCCTCGCAGCTCCATTAGGTCTTGGAAAATGGCACAAGATCTTCGCGTTTAAGAACACCCACTCTCATATGTCCTAGAACCGAACAAGATCTCAAAAAAGAATAAGAGCGTCCTTCTTTGATATCTTGGAGTGGCTTCGTAGAAAAGAATGTAGCTTTTTGCTCAGGCTTTCACAAATCCAGTGGCTTTCTCCGGCCTCCAGCCTTCATTCTGTGCACATCTATGAAGCTTGTGGAAGATGTGACAATACCTCTAGTTGCGCTGAAACAGTCCCTGCGAGCTCCCGACTGAACAGATTGTCACGAATCTGTACAAGGAATTGTCATGACACGCCTACCTGAATGGATCGCAATCGCACCAGAAGTTCTGGAACGCAGCAAGCTCTTCTATTGCAGGAAATGATCTAAGAAGAAGAACAAGATGCAAGAACAGTGCTGGGATTAAATAAGCACAAACTTTGAGGCAGCAGACTGACCAGATCTCGAAAACCTTAAAAGAAAGCCTGATAGTTCTCAGGCAGAAGTACAGTTTCGTAAGTCTACTACTTCTTTAAGCTCTGAAAGATGTCCAGAAAGTAGTGACGTTAGTGACCAAGAACGAGAAGGAAATCAACAGCAGTATTTCATTATCAACGATATACCTGTGTTTGTCAAGAGAGCACGCAACTGTATCCGAATCTGGTAGACCTGCTCGAGAAGTAAAGTCCATTTATTGCACAGAATGTCCTGTCTGTAAGTTCCACTCTCTTTGTATCTTCAGCTTTCAATCAACGGATGTTTTGAGTTCACGAGACTTCTCAAAGAAACTAGAAAAGCATCGCATTACCAAATAGCCGTCACGGACGTAGAATGGCATTGCTGCGGAAAGCCATCTCACTGAGGTCAGATTGATTTAGACAAACAAAGATACTATGTACCTGTCATTCTGCCGTGCTCCATCATATGCACGTAAAGATCCGCACCAGCTAGATGAGAGGCATAAGGACGAGGAGCTCCATGAGTATTTCCGCGGTACTTTCCTGCAGGAATGTGGAAAAAGCGCATTCAGCCTCATTAGCGCCTGGACCAAACTATGTAGATCATGAAACAACACTTACACCAAATTGCTCCCCAAACCTGAAATACATCCTGAGATACATCCTGTGTGCAAAATGCGATAAATACCTCTAGCTGACTGCCGCTAAACAGTCCCTGAAGAGCTCCCGACGCAACCAGTCAGGATTATCACTTGCTGTCATTTCAAGACCGGAAGCCAGCCACGAATCTGAAATGAAGTTCCAGAGCAAGAAATTGCAATTTAAACCTGACGCACCTCCATGCATCGTAGCACAAGTTCGGAAAGCAGCAACGACGGCAAATACGCCACGAATGA